CTGGATTGGCGAGCTCAGACCACTTTGAACAATCTGATATGTCCAATCTAACTTAAGATGCTAAATTCTATTGCTGAAACCTCCAGAAATAATCTCTTTTGCTACCATCAAGGCTGGGACTTTACACAATGATATGCTAATGCTTTACTTTCAAAGATGATGCTCATAACCTAACATCAGGAGGACAAATTAGAAATCTTTTCTTTTTAGACGCATCATGGATTTAGGCAGTTTTACTCACTGGCTGAGGGCGTACACTTGTGAGTGCGCAGGCTGATGCAGAAAGCTAACCAGGGAATATAAAGGGAATGAACCAGGCTTGTTAGCAGTCCTCAAACCAACTGAGCCAGGTAGCCAGTCAGGGACAGGAAACCAGGAGAATGGAGAAGGTGACTCAGCATCCTGCACTCTTGAATAGTGACCTTCCATGAGCTGAGGGGCAGTTTTTAAAACGCATATTTAAAATTATCGTTACTTTTGTTTTCAGCCATGAGAAACAGAATAAAATTATCTGTTTACCAAGGGGCACAAAACACTGCTCTGAGAGAAATGTCTCTGCCCTGCAGAATGGCAGGTGGTCTGCGAGCAGGAACCCTCTCCAGGTATGCAGCACGTGCACGCATAAAAATGACAGGAGTTCGGGAGACAACCGACCAGGATTGCTCGTAACACACTCAGAGACCCTGGGGCAATCTACTCAATTTTTGTACTTCAGCTCCATCTCCTAAAAAAATACGGATTACAACCCCTGCCTTTTTTTTTAACCTCGCAAGAATGTCATGAGGTTCAAATGACATAAGGCAAATGAAAGTGCTCTGAAAATTGCTAAATTCTACAGAAATCTTAGGTATCATTATATGCAAAGAACCCTCCTGTTATATGGTTAGAGAAAAATATGAACTTTCCTACATCTTATAAGTGATCAGAGAATCAACATATATCAGCACACCTAGCCCAGTGAGTACATGCTGGCAGAAAAAGTGTAGGTGTAATTAGGTCTTTTCTGGGCATCAATTTCGCTTTGAGCAGGAGGTAAGGGTGTCTAGGACAACGGCTGACACTTTGCCATTTGTGAGCAGGTTATTCTTTGGAATAATTTTTAATTATTTTTAATTTAAAAACAATGCGAAATGAATGAAAGACTAGTGCTCTCTGGCTCTTACAAGTATTCTTGTCACAAAAAATACCCTAACTTTATTTCTAACTGAAGCTCCCTGACTTGTTTAATTTTACTGTAGTTTCAAAGTCTCTAAAATTCTCCATCCACTCCCTCCCCCACTTGCCCTGCTGCTGTTACTCCATTCTGGTGAGGAAAGAACTTAGCCATCTGCTCACACGTTCTGACAAAAGTCAATTTGGCACATTTACTTTTTACTGACTTTCTAGCCATAAAATGAACGAGCAGCAAAATGGCCTGTACCAAAGAAAGTCCCAATCATAATTATTGGGAGGAACTGTGACCAGCACAGTACATACCTAAGACCTTGGAAACATACTATAGTACATTCCTGTATAGCAAATATTCGAGCTGTATTAAAACTAGTTATTGAAGCTTTCCATTCCTATATGGCCAACCCAAAATCTACCTCACTACATTCTATAATTTATTTAATTTAAAAAAATGTCAAATGGAAAATTTAAATTCAAAATATGGACTTAATGTATCACACAAAACATCATCTGCGCTGGAAGTGTCAGCTGGTTTTAGGCCAATACATTACTTGGCAAAGCAGGGAAAAAGGGGTGAGGAAGAGAGGCGAGCCTGGCAATAAAATTCCAATTAAAAAAAAAAAAAGCCTATTAATCTGAAAACATGTCTTCCCGGCTCCATGTACAGCAGCCACCTAAGAGGAATCAAATAAGCAGCCATTATAACGATTCGCCAGTGAGCCAATACAGCAGGTAGAAGGGCACATGGAAGACTGGTGTTCAGTCCTCAGGGACTACACCCTGCATGCCACCATCAGCTCGAGCAAAGCGATCACTCAGCCTGGGCAGACATCCAGGGCAAGCCTGAACCCTGTCCTTGAGTAAGTCCACTGGCACACATACAAAGCATGGCTTGAAAGATCTCGGAAGAAGGAAGAATTCCTCCTTTAATAGGTGCTAAATCTAGTCAATTCTCTGCTGCTCCCTTTTTCCTGTCCCAAGTTAAAAATATTGTCCTTTGAGTTTTCCTGATTTAGTGTCTTGGAAGCACATGGTTTAGTCACCAAAGGGCAATTAACAAGGGTATTGCCTAATTAAACAGGGAAAAGAAAAATCACTGTGATCTATGGTCCCTGAAAAAAAAAAGAAAGAAAGAAAGAAAAGTAGGGATCTGTGTGCTGAGCTGGTGTGTGATGTTCCTGGAGCAGGGCTGTCCCCAGACGGGTAAAGACAGCCCAAGTTGTGCCAGTCACTTCAGCCTCTGTGTTTATCTGTGCATCTGCTTTTTGTCACCAGCAGAGCCCAGGGACAGCACCAAGTACTTTGTGAGAGTTGATGCTGGAGCTGGCAGGTGCCCTAGGGCAGGTACCATGCAAAACATGCAAGAGTGGGGTTAGCAAAACGTTCCCTTTAAATTCCATTTCATTTCCCTTAAAAAACAAAACCAAACCAAAAGACCCCATACTTTGCAAAAAGACAGAACTTGAAATAAGAAGTTAAAGAATTAAAAATTTCCCTTCTTCTCAGAGCCAATTGTAAGAGCATTTAGGGTTTTGCGCCCTCGCCCGCCCCCTACATTTCTTTAGTGGAGGTCCTTCTGGCTTTGACGGAAGCAGCAGAAACAAAGCTGGGTCCCTTGCAATGGGAAATTTATTTCCCTAAGTCGGAGCCACAGGGAGTGTTAAGAGGTACTGCGGTTCCATCATCCACGCTCAGTCCCAGGTCCTTTGAGGAGCTATTCCAGGAGGTCCTGAAACAACAGACATAGACCAAAAATTCCCATTTTGAAAGCAATTGCCTCGTATCTGGCTGACTAAGTCTTATAGTCATTAAGTTGCTGCTTCTAGCTTATACCCTCCTTTGCCTCAATTGTATCTTGATCATGAATAGGAGAAGAATCACTTTTTTTTTTCTGTACTTCTGGACCACCCCTCAAGAAGAAATAGTCTCACCTCATCTGAGTCGTCATGATAACCACTTTTATGAGTGCGGGAGGCTGTGTCCAAAGCATCCACGCCATCCACACCGTTGGCCTCTGCATGCTGCTGTAGCACAGAGTACCGATGTACCAGGAACCTGTGGACAGGAAGCTCTGTTATGCCCCACATGGTGAGGAGTGCATTTCTCATAGGACTGTGGATTTTCTGTGTTTTATACACTCACAGAATGAGTCACACATATAGGAAGCATGGCCCATAGTTGGCATATGGAAACTATAAGAGCCAAGAAGATTTAGGCCTGATGTTTTAGGACATCACTTCAACTAGCTGGTTTTTGCCAAGGGCAGACTCAACCATACACCCTTGGCTGACTTTCTGGTTTGAATGCAGCACCTGCGATTGACTTCCACGTTCCTTACCTTCCCCCACAGACATATTTCTTCACAATGAGCACTCCTGCTACAACTGTGACCAGCATCAGTCCCACAGTGGCCAGGATAATCGGAACAGAATTTGACCTGGAATTCTTGATAAAGTAAAACACAAACAAAAAATTTCACGTTTGCATATTCTAGGGTTGAATTCAAAAAGGCCACTCATTCCCTTTATTTTTCTGAACGATCTGAAGTCTTTAGACATTTCATGATGATACTCTTCAACCCCCAAGATGAACCATCTCAGTGTTACCAGAATATTATAGCTGGCAGAGGGTCACCAGAACTTCAACTGCCTTGAAGCTGTCAGAATGGTGCAAACTCAGTGGCTTCAATGTCAAAGTTACACTGGAAGCCTTGGAAACCTAGATCAAAAGGTAACTGACTGTTCCCCACTATAACTATTTATAAGTCTTGGCGCTTTTAAGGGTGGAGCAAGAAGGGGAGAGTACGATAATAATGAGCTGAATGAATCTAGAAAAGGGCCATTACCTGGGAAGCAGCTGTGCCAATGCTATATCAGGCGGGCCATCATATGACATCAAGATTTATTTTTTTACTTAGTTTTTGGTATGTTTTTACAAATAAGCCTTTTCATATCATTGTTTGAGTGTGACCTACCTGCTTCTGGGTGGGAGATAGGGGGTGTGTGTTTTCAATGTATCCAAGAGGAGACGAAGCTGGATTCTGGGACAAGCTGTGTCCCTGTGGACGGGAGTCCTGTGCAATCACACACACAAACACTCTGAGGACAGCCACCAGGAGTGCAGGGCAGGGGTGCAGAGAAAGAGGAACTTGCCCCCTGACAAATACACACACCCACACATTCTTCTCCCACTGCCTTAATCCCACCCCTGGTCAGGTCCTTGTCTTTCAGAAGTTCCAGGAGGGACTACAGATTGTCCACCTCTCATTTTACAGATTAGAAAACTGGGGACCACAGTTTATTGACCTAAGTCACACTGCTTGTCCCGTGCTTCTTTATCAAGAAGTTTTCTCTGAACATATCCCTAAATCCCAGCCAGACAGTTCAGTACTGCAAACCTATAATCAACCCCATAACTTGCTTCTAAATCAAAACCAGCCCAATATTACAAAGAACACACTTGGCATGACTGGGCACAGAGATCCACCCTACCTACGGTCCAGTGCGCTTCTCTTCCACATGTGCAAAACTCCAGCCCTTTACAGCCAAACTTCTTCAGTCTCTTTTCTAAATGACCCCGAGCCTCAGAAATTTCCTCAACTCCATGCTTCTAAGCCTTGGAACTTTATGGAATACAATTTTTTCCCCAACAAAAACGTGTTCAGTATGTGAGCTTATAATTGGGTTATGTGACCCCACCCGTCATCCTAACAGTTTCCTTTGACAGAAGTAGTCTGGCCACCCTGTATTACGTAATAAAATTCTGGATGCGTTGACTGACTATTCCTGATAGAATACAAAACCACGCTTGCGCCTGAACCAGATCTACTTTAACATACCTGCTTTTCTGGATTCAAAAAGTTGCTTGTGCATTTCTTTTTCAAGTCTTTTACTTCTCGAGCTGGATTCACTCCACCTTGGCACCTGTCCCCTGGAATTTTCCGGTACCTGAAAGGCAGATCAAATTTGTTAACAGAATAAAAGGATGTATGCCTGGATTCTTGCCTATATCCTGAAAATAAGATTTGAAAAGCTACAGAAAAGCTTCTCATCCTTACACTACCTTTCGGGCCTCGGGGGAGATCCACAGGGAGGTCTGGGGATGTTTTGTGTAGTTTCAGGCCTTGAACAGACCAAGCATCCCTGGCCTCGCTGCAGGGACACGCCCGCCTTTCTGCCTTAGGCGACTGTGCCAAAGAACTGTGACCTGGGAAAGCATGTTAACACGTGGTACGAAAATGGGAGGGGGAGTGTTTATCAGGGGAGCGGGCAGTGCGGCTCCTCTAAATCAGTACTGTCTAATATGGTAGCTATTTAATTAAAATTAATTCAGTTCCTCAGTCACTCTAGTGTCAGTAGCCACACAGGGCTCATGGCTACCAGACGGGACACAGCAGACTATAGGACCTTTCCATCATCACAGAAAGTTCTGTTAGACAGTTATTTTTCTAGAGTGCTCTAAAACCTTGCTCAGATCTCTCTGCAGAGAGGAGCTGCTTTTTACTCTGAATAATGGTGATTCATCTGTCACAATAAGGGAGAAAAGCCATCTCACCCGTTTGTTATCAGGTGCTCCTCTCTGCCATACAGACAAAACTCTAGGTCGTGGCCCTTCAGCTCTGGCTGTTCCACACACTTGGAGTCATTTTCTGGACGGAAGTAGCCAAAATCACTGCAAGAGTCAACAAATAAAGTATCTTTCAAAGTTGCTTAACGACAGTAAGTGACTAGCAATGAAGATTTTAAGTGGGGCAGTGGATGGTTAATATTCCAGTCTTGAGTTTCTAAAAAGTAGCTCAGAAAGGCTTATTTCATCTATAAAGAAGGTCCATTTAGGAAAACAGACATGGAGGGCTTAGCTGGTGGTGGGAGGTGAGTAGCTTATGGATGGGCCTGGTTGACTCAGGACTCAGTGGCTAGGAGCCCTGAGGCTGGAAGCCCTGCACAGATAGCTCAGGCTCTGGGAAGGGAGTGACTGCGACCCATGCCACTAAGACAGGTAAACAATGGCATCAGAGTCCGATCTAAACTCAGGAACACTTATATGGTAGCTATTTAATTAAAATTAATTCAGTTCCTCAGTCACTCTAGTGTCAGTAGCCACACAGGGCTCATGGCTACCAGACGGGACACAGCAGACTACAGGACCTTTCCAGCATCACAGAAAGGTCTGTTAGACAGTTATTTTTCCAGAGTGCTCTAAAACCTTGCTCAGATCTCTCTGCAGAGAGGAGCCGCTTTTTACTCTGAATAATGGTGATTCATCTGTCACAATAAGGGAGAAAAGCCATCTCACCCGTTTGTTATCAGGTGCTCCTCTCTGCCATACAGACAAAACTCTAGGTCGTGGCCCTTCAGCTCTGGCTGTTCCACACACTTGGAGTCATTTTCTGGACGGAAGTAGCCAAAATCACTGCAAGAGTCAACAAATAAAGTATCTTTCAAAGTTGCTTAACGACAGTAAGTGACTAGCAATGAAGATTTTAAGTGGGGCAGTGGATGGTTAATATTCCAGTCTTGAGTTTCTAAAAAGTAGCTCAGAAAGGCTTATTTCATCTATAAAGAAGGTCCATTTAGGAAAACAGACATGGAGGGCTTAGCTGGTGGTGGGAGGTGAGTAGCTTATGGATGGGCTTGGTTGACTCAGGACTCAGTGGCTAGGAGCCCTGAGGCTGGAAGCCCTGCACAGATAGCTCAGGCTCTGGGAAGGGAGTGACTGCGACCCATGCCACTAAGACAGGTAAACAATGGCATCAGAGTCCGATCTAAACTCAGGAACACTTCGTAGTTCTTTTGTTTACCTCCAGGTAACTCATTATTATGTTATCTGGAGGTGTACCAGGGGGTATATGCAAACCTTTCCTGCCCTCTCCATTTCTGACCCGCTTAGCTTCTTAGATGGTCCTCGCCTCCAGTGCGCACGCCCTGTCCTGCCCTCCATTCTATCCCATTTCTCCATAGTGCCACCCATCTGCTCTCCTTTCTCCCATTTCCCCAAAGAAATAACATACGGCCTCCTCTCCAAGCTGACCCTCTTCCTGAGCATCCTTGGCCCCAACCTTCAAACTGCCCCGGGACCTGCTTCACTGCCAGTGTGGGAGGGACCTTCAGGACCACTCACCTGGCGGTTTCTCCTCAGCCAGCATCTGTCCTGTTCCTTCACCGTCCTCTGCCTCACTTGTACTATTTTACTCATTTACTTTTAATTTTGTGTGTTTTGGCTTCAAACCCCTCTGCAACCTTGAAAATGAACATGAGGCCCCAGTAGGGATCACTAATCATCCATCCAACCCAGGGCACCCTCCCTGGCCTTGTTAACCTTGACCGCCTGTTCTGTGACACCTGACACACGCCGTGCTCCCACCCACCTCGGCACTGCAAAGCTGCACTTGTCTGTTTCTCTGGTCACTGATGGCTCTTCTCTTTTTTTACCCCATAAATGAAACGGTTCCAAAGGTTCTATAATTCATTCTCTTACTTTGTATCTATTCTCCCTCTGTGAGCTTAACTATTTGTTGCAACTAAAACTTCCAGGTTTTACCTCTTGAGCTCTAATCCTCCATTTCCAAATACCTGCTAGATATTACACCTAAATCTGTTGACAGAACCTCAAACAGAACGTTCAAAACACATTTTTTTCCCTTCATGCCAGCCTCTCCTATTATTTCCTTATGTTTGTCCCTGACACTACCTTCATCACCTAAGTTTCAAGTTCAGCCTGAGCATCCCCCTGCTACTCACTTCGTTATCGTGACTACTGTGACGTCCCCCATGGCCTATCTTCCAGCACACCCTGCTTCTTCTCAGATGCTCATGGTCAAATCCCGCCGCTCGTCAGGGCTCAGCTCAAACGCCACCTTCTCACTCAAGCTTTCTTTGACCTGCCTACTTCTAGCGGGGAGTAGCCTTTCCCTCTCTAAATCCCTGGGGGCACTTACCACCTTCTGTTTTACAACATAATTGCGAGCATCTTACCAGGAGGGTCTAAAACAAACCTTCTGTTTTCATTTTGCACTGCCCTGTGCACAGCAAATATTCAATGAATACTTGGGGAATATATAGATGCTGCTTGTACTTCAAAGTTTTTCTGACAAATATTTAGGTGAGATGTTGGGAGAACCTAAGATGAAGAAGCCATCACCCCTCCAATAGCAGAGGGAAACTTCCAGTAAAAATTTTAGGTATTCAATCCAAAATTTCAGGGAAAGTACCCTTGCCACTCAAAAGGTCCACATTTCTCAAGCACACGTGGTTCAGCGTACGGGCTCTGGAGCCGAACTCCGGGTTCACATCCCGGCTCCACCACTTCACGGCTGACTGACTGTGGGCAAGTTAATCGCAACCTCTCTGTACCTTCATTTCTTCCCTTTGTGAAATGGAAAAGACAGCAGTACCCGTCTCGTAGGGCTGCTGAGGTTAGGTGTAAATTAGGACAGTGCCCGGTACAGTTAGTGCCCCATAAACTATAGCTGCTACCATTACTTCTATATGATTATCAAATATAACGTGCCTTCCAGGAGTCCAGAGCTCAGTGGTGGAACCAAACCTATACTCGATGATTAAAACACAGTAATGGGGGTTCAGTGGGAGCCGAGGTGAGGGAAACTTGGGAAGGCTTTAAAGAGGTGATATCTGAGCTAAGTATCAAAGGCCAAGTAGGAATCCATCAGGTTTGGGGGTCAAGCAGGGACTGTGGAAAGACTTTCCCGGCAGAGGAAGCAGCATGTGCAATGGCATGGAGTCGGAAGCACAGCATGTCTGGAAAATAGGAGAAGCTCAGAAATTAAGAGCCTAGCCTATGTGCAGTCAAGGGTGGGCAACAGCGCTTGAAGAGTTTCATGGCATCAGTGAGCTCTAGCCATACGGCATCAGTGATCTGAGAGGCATTTTTCCCGTGGAAACAGAGAAGGGAGGACCCCTGGCCATTTCACAGACAGTTATAAGCCACGCTGGGTCAGACTCAGGTTCCCTAAGACCCATATTCTCTGTCACCTGTGGTTTGAGAGAATATGATGTAGGGGGACATGACTGCTATCTATCTGCCTCTGTTCCAATCCTTTAGGATCCACTTTTACCTTCTGTCAGTATCCGTAAGATTAATATATGTGATGTAAAGCAGTCCCCCTTATTTGCCTCCTTGCTTAGGCTACCTAGGGACTGCCTTGCCCTTGCCTAATCAACTAACTCCATACCAGCCACACAACTGATCCTTAAGCCTGGATGGTCCTGAACTCTAGGGAATTCACCTTAATGGCCTCTAAACCTTGGGGAACATATAGGGACCATAAATGTACCGATGTCATCTCATGTCTCAGGATAGAACCACTCTCTCTGCCTTCAGCCCTGCAGGTGGCCC